GTAAACTTTGTGGAAGTTTGTCACAAAGTTGATTTAAAAAATCACTTTCAGACCTTTCTGCTACACTACTTAATGACATACATTCAGAAAGTTTTTTTTGTAATTCTATATTTTCTAGTTCTAGCTGTGCTAGTCTTTCATTAACTTTACATAACGAATTTGCTCATCTTTTAATTGGATTATAATATCTTTTTCCTCAACAACTTTTTCTACAGTTTTTAATTTTTTAACTACAGCTGTAAAATCTTCTTTTAATATTCTTTTTCTGGGGATTTTTTCAGAAACAGATATAGTATTACTATTCACTAATGGCCTAGCTGATGTAGACAGTTTGGGACTTATAGATTTATTAACTACACCACCTTCATTGTCATCCTGATTGCTTAAAGAATTAAGATAACTTAAAGCTAAATTTTGATCAGGAATAGCGCTTTTTGTAAAATTCCTTGTACACATCATATTCACCGAAAAATAATTACTACAAGCGAAAATATTTTTGTTTGTCCCTCTAACTCCTAAGCGCTTTATCCACTCGTTTCTACATAATAAAGTTTGAGTTGAGCTTTCGAAGCGACCGGTTGCATAATACAGAGTGCGGAATGTAAAAATTGGTGATTGTTTAGAAAAGCAAATTTATTAAACTTTCATAAATTTTATTAATTATTTAAGTGTTAAAAAATTTTTTTAACAAATTTTACAAATGTGATTTTAGTGAATTTTACATTTTATAATATGAATTCCATTACTATTGTATAAAGCAAAAGTGTGCGCACAAATTTTGACAAACAAGTTTTGAATAGCGGAGAATATTCTAACAGTGGTGAAAACAACAAAGTGGTTTAATTTTTTAAAATTATAACAAATAAAATTATAACAATTATAATGAGATGAGCGATGATGAGATCAAAGAGATGAGCGAATAAAGAAATTACAGCAATAAAGTTAAAAATAGGCCTTTTCGGTAGCTCGCAAGTACGGCAAAAAACAGCAAGTTGCTGGCCTATGCAGGCCTATACTGGCCGCAATATACGCAAAACAACAACACTATTTTCTCTACCTCGGCCAGCATAGTTATGCTGGCCAACCACATCGGCCAGTAAAAAAAAAATGTTACCAACGCAATAAGCGAACTATTGTGAACCTTCATTGAAAATTCCAACGAATAGTGCAATCAAATGTCAAAAATTGAGGAAATAAAAATTCAAACAGAATTCAAAAATTTGAAAAATCTTGAAAAGTAATTAAGAAATAATAAGAATGGAGAAATCGTAATTATTAAACACATTGAATTTTTTATTATGTTAGTTATTACCAAGTAACATTTATTTTATTTCATTTAATTTGTAGTTTACATACGTAAAATTAATTAAATAAACATAATTTTTGAAGTTTTTCTAAAAAAATTTTTTATAGAAATATACGCAAACTATGGACCACAAAGGAAACGAAGTGTTTTCTAGAGTGCATTCATAACATTTAAAAAATCCGTGAAACAACTTGCATCCCTCAGTCGCTGCAAAACGTTGCTTTCTTCTCCCAACATCGACAGTACCTACAAAAATTTACTTATCTTAGTGTTTTATTTTTAAATTTTCAATATTCTTACCATTCCTTTTAATTCCGTGTTCATTTTAATTTTATATTTTTATAAAAATATATTTGATTTATATGCACATATACAAGATTTGCTGTTTGTCAAAACAAAACATTTGACAGATTGCAACAGTGATGCCATTGACTCGCGTGGCCAACATAGGCCAACATGCATTTTATGCCGCACTTGCGAGCAACCGAAAAGGCCTAATATCACAACAAAGCAAGATAATCCAAGTAACAAAACTAAATCACTAAGCATCTAAAAAATGGAAAATAAATAAGAAGTGGAACATTATCAATATAAACAAAAGAAAATAGATCATTTTGTTTTTAATCTTTATTTTTCATTACATAATAAAATTGGTGGTACAATAAATAATTATATCAACTCTCAATAAACAATAACGAAATTATAATTAAAATTCTTATAATATTTGTTGAATGTTTTATATTTTTTACTTTTATTTACTATACTTTCCTTTAAAGTAGCTAAAATAACGCGCGTGCTGCTCATTTTTTATTGTCAATATGCAACCCAATGTTGATTTTCGTCAACCTTGCACATATACGGTACTCTCAAATATAAAAACAACATTAATTTTTACAGTTCTTTAGCTTCGCTACGGAACTGGCTTGTCGGTGGCTTTCTCTTGCATTTCAAGTCTCAAATGAGCAGCACGCGTGTTTAAGTTAATAACTAAATCAAATAATTGAATTATTTTTCAATATGTATTAATTTCAGAATAAGTTTAAAAGCTCTAAAGATTACATAATTAATAGTGAATAAAAAGAAAATAAAATTGAATAACTTATAAAATAAATATTTTATTTTTATATTTTTCAGTGGCGCCCGAGCAGGGACTTGAAATCGAATAATAAAATAATTAGAAATTTGATGAACATTGTCTGTGGAGCTGCAACTGGCAGCATCGTGATTTTGGTTCGGTTGCGGAGAATGTCGGTGTGGTGTCAAGTATCAGCATCAGGGAAAAAACCGCTAATAAAATAAAGAAATAAAGAATCAACAAATTGACAAAGAAGCAGCCAATTTCATATATTCTGATGAAAACACGTGCAGGCTGCTGCTATTGGTTTTTCCTTGATTAATTCTTCATTGCTACTGTTGGCCGCTGCTACGGCAGTTTCCTGCTTAATTCTCATTGCTGCTGTTGGCCGTTGCCACTGCAGTTTACTGCCATTAATTCCTCATTGCTGCTACTGCAGACTACTACTGCATATCGCTGCTGCTGTTCGCTGTCACTGCGGATTGATACTGCTCTTCATTGCTGCTGCTATTCACCACTGCTGCTGTTTCTTTCTCTTTCTAGATGGAGTGCAACTGTAACACCACTGTCCTTTGTCAGGTAAGAAAGTGCAAGTAATGAAATTGTTGTACCAGGTCATGCTCTGACTAAACAAAATAGTCAAAGAAAGTATTTCAAATAACTTTTGCAATGGTAATTATTTGCACTTTTAAAATACATATGTTTATATTTATTCGTATCTACAATAAATAATTTACAAAACGAGAAACAAATTTACCTAGCTTAGGTTGAGCTTCATTAAACATATATGTTCGGTAAATCCAATTGTTTAATACAAATAATTGAGTAATTTGCAGGGGCAAATTATATACAAAGTGAATGCATTTTTCGTTTTCGTTTTCGCTAGTTACTTGTATCCATTTTGCTGAAATTGACCCATAATAACAATATTTGACTACTTATCGTTTTTTTCCTTATTATCGTTATAAACAAAGTGAGTGCTTCTTTCGTTTCGTTAATTTCTCGCGTTCACTTTTGTTGGAATTTACTTACAACCATCGCTCAACAATACTCAAATATTATTATCGTTCTTTGCGCTGCATTGCCTTTTCTTTTCAAAATTCTAGTAAATTGTGTTCACTATGTCAACTAAAAAGCGACCATCATCCCCACAAAAAAATGAAGATTGGGATAAACTAATCCAGCAGCGAGAAACTGTAGTGGCCAGCATCCTGCGTATTAAAAAAGTAATATTGGAGAAAACTTTTGATTTAAACCCTGTAGAACTGGAATGTAGGTTGGACATTCCCAATTCATATATTAAACAGGCTATGACTTGCCAGCAAAAAATAGAATGTATCAACGAGTCTGATGTATTTCGACCAGATCTAGAAGAAATCTGTGTTGCTTCAAAATCATTGTTCTTACAGGCGTTAGGTAAAAACCGCAAGTCTAGTATCCCTGATACTTCGCATGAATGCAGCAATCATCGTTCCAGGCTGCCAAGTATGCGTTTACCTAAATTTAGTGGGAAACATTCTGAATACAAAAACTTCATAAGCCTTTTTGAAAGCTTAGTGCACAATGATCAGTCGCTAACTGATATTGAAAAATTCAATCATCTCATTTCGTGTTTGTCTGACGAAGCTCTTGGTACAGTTAAGGCATTTCAACTCACTGAAACAAATTACTTAAAGGCATTAGCTAGTTTAAAAAGAGTTTACGATAACACTTGTTTAATCTTTTTCGATAGTATCTCGCAGCTTTTTGAACTTCCAGAAATGAATAAGCCATCTGCTTCTGCATTAAGCAATATCATAGATAGTATTTCTGCCATATATGAGTCCCTATCGTCAATAGGAGGTGATAAGAACATTTCAAATGCAATTCTTATTCATTTAGTCATGTCAAGAGTCGATGCCGCTACGAAATCCAAATGGGAGGAGCAATTAGATTACAACAAGCTGCCACTCTGGTCTGATTGCGAGACTGCGTTAAATAAGCGATATCAACACATTTCTGCTGACGAAGCTTCCACGTCAAGATCTCGATCGAACAGGCCAAAACAGGACAACTGGCAAAGTAAGAATGCAAAATCTTCATTTATGTGCAAAAAAAATAGTTCGCAAGAGGAAAGTAGATGTTTGTTCTGTAATGCGAAGTAACATGTAATAAATTCATGCTCTGGCATGCATAAATTGTCTCAAGAAAGGGCACACGGTATCTAGATGCAAGGCATCACGCTGCAGAGTATGTAATCGGTCGCACCATACTCTTTTACACCAATACTCTACAAACACTTCTCAAACAGGTTTATCTTATAATCCAGAACAACCCATTATTTCTCGTGCCTCTGTGAATCATAGCTCATCGAATGGCGATCAAATTATTCTGGCCACTGCAGTCATAACCATTCAAGGAAAATCTGGAGATTATCAGCTGGCCAGAGCATTGTTTGATTCCGGTTCTCAAGTCAACTTTATAACCGAGGAACTTGCACAATGACTGCAAATAAAAAAAGAAGCGAAAACTCTAAATCTAATTGGCATTGGTGAAACAAACTCCACAGTACGGCAAAAATTACATGCCACTGTGAGATCACGTATTAACTCTTATGAGTTTTCTACTGATTTTTGGATAATGCCTTCAATCTCCACTTACCAACCCGACAAATTTGTGTCAATGAGTAATTGGAATGTTCCTTCCAATCTTTCACTTGCTGATCCACACTTTCACAAACCGCAAAAGATAGATCTTCTACTTGATGCCGAAAGCTTTTTCGAACTGTTGTCGGTTGGACAAATAAAACAAGATACTTATTTTCCAACGCTCCAGAAAACATTACCCGGATGGATTGTATCTGGAAGATTCAAACATACCGAAAGTCCCAATGCTAAAATTTGCAATCTAATAAGCTTAGATAAAGAAAAGTTGACAGATGACTGTTCCTTAAACTCTCTTGTACAAAAATTCTGGGAATTACAAGAAATTCCTAAGGAGATTAAGGTTAAGAAATATACTGCGGAACAACAACTTTGCGAGACAAAATTTGTCAGCATAGTTCAACGTACACTGTCTGGTAGGTTTAAGGTGAAACTCCCCTTTAAATCTGATTCAAGTTTTTTAGGATTCTCATTCCAAACAGCAAGAAGCCGTTTTCTATTATTAGAGCGCAAACTTTCGAAAGACTCCATTTTACAGAATCTCTATATGGATTTTATGAAAGAATATCGGAACTTAGGTCATATGACACCAACCAACGAGAATTTTTCTGCAACCACTCACTACTTCATACCCCATCAATGTGTTCTGCGACCACAGAGCACCTCTACTAAGCTTCGGGTTGTATTCGACGCATCAAGTCGAACATCTTCGCAGAAGTCATTAAATGATCTACTAATGGTCGGTCCGATCGTGCAAGAAGATTTGTATTCAATCCTGATTCGTTTCCGCATGCATAAGTATGCAATAACTGCTGACATTGTTAAAATGTACCGTCAAATTGAAGTTGACGAGGCAGACAGAACTTTTCAACTTATACTTTGGAGAGAAAATTCGTCCGAAGAACTGAAGGTGTACAAATTAAACACTGTGACTTATGGTACGTCATCTGTACCATTCCTAGCTACTGGCTGCTTAACCCATTTGAACGATATTTATCAACTTATTTATCCCAGGGGAGCAAACTCAATACGCAA